GGGTTTTAGGAGTTTCCAATGTTGCATGGGAAGGTTTTGTTTTGTTTTCTTGACACAGGGTTTCTCTGTGTAATTTTGGTGCCTGTCCTGGATCTCACTCTGTAGCCCAGGCTGGCCTGAACTCATAAAGATCCACCTACCTCTGCTTCCTGAGTGCCGGGATCAAAGGCATGCACCACCACCGCCCGGCTTGCATGGAAAGTTTTAGAAATATCTCAACATGTTTTGTTCTCAGGTATTTTCCTTAATTAACCCTTTGCTAATTAAAGCTTTTAGAAATACATTCTCCTTTTAGAAATACATACAGGTGCAACAAACGCCATTCATCAAAAGCCTTTCCTAGGACTTGCTGGTGAGATGGCCCAGGAGTAATGGTGTTTACTGTACGAGCCCGACCGTGAGTTCGAGCCCCTGAACCCATGGGAAAGTAGAAAGATTAAACTTATCCTCTGACCTCAACATGCACACCACGGTGCGCACGCGCGTGTGCGCACACGCACACACACACACACACACACACACACACACACACACACACACACACACAAGAAAACTGTAACACGAATTGCTAATCAGTCTTATTAATAGAAAACCCGGAGCCAGAATCTGGGGTGAAGGCTGAAAGACTGGAGAAGCTGAGCAAGCCTCAGCTAACCTCACCTCGCCAACTCCACAAATCCTCTGACTGAAAGCCTCTGAGTCCTCACCCGAGGGTCTCAGTTGAACAGCTTTAGCCAGTAGCTCACCTCTACAAAATCCTCAGTCTAAAAAGACCATAAGTTCCTGTTTCCTCGCGCCTTATATACCTTTCTGTGTCCTGCCATATTACTTCCTGGGATTTAAAGTCGTGTGTCCTTCCCAAGCAAAGACATGAGCTCTCAAGTGCTGGGATTAAAGGTGTGTGCCACCGCACCTGGCTCTGTTCCCAGTGTGGCCTTGAACTCACAGAGATCCAGATGGATCTCTGCTTTCCTGAGTGATAAGATTTAAGGTGTGTGCATTCACTGCCTGACCTCTATGTCTAATTCGGTGGCTGGCTCTGTCGTCTGATCCTCAGATAAGTTTATTAGGGTACACAATATATCACCACAGAAAACCATCTTTTAATTGAACATATTAGGCCCAGCACAGTGGCGCACACCTTTGATCCCAGTACTCAAGAGACAGAGCCAGGCAGATCTCACTGAGTTCCAGGTCAGCCTCAAAAACTCATGAACTGAGCGCAGGAGCTGCAGTCAGGATGGGAGCGCCTCCTCCACCTGCACACCTAGGGAGGGGCACTAGGCTCTGCAGAAACACTTAAGATGCACCCCAATCCTAACCAGGAGGCATGTGAGGTCCTGGCTGCCAGACTCCACATGAAAAGAGGAAGTTGGGACTTGGTTCCTCGCGTGCCTGCCGGGACAAGCAGAAGCAAAGGCAGCAGCGCACCGGCAAGCGCAGGCTGGACTTCGCCCTGCAAAGCCCCTTTCTCGGCCTGCCAGCCTCCGTGCTACCAATGCATGGTGCTTACCGTCACTGCAAGGTTGGAGAACCTGGCACCGCCGGAGGAATTCCCCCGGGACACCGCCGCCCCCAGTCCCTGAAGCTCTGAAAGCCTTGAGGAGGCTTACACTACGTACCTCCAGAAATGGGTACCTGGGTACCGAAGCAGAGATGGCGTGTCACAGGGCTCCTAACCATAGGGAGGTTCCTGGAGACCCCACAGGGCGACATCTGCAAGTGCTTGGTTGCAGCTTTTAGTTTTCTTTCCTGAGGGGGCTCACGTGCCCCAGGCTGCCTTCAACTCATAGCACCTGAGATGGAAGACCTAATCCCTCTGCCTCCACCACATCCTTTTTTTTTTTTTTTTTTTTTGAGACAGGGTTTCTCTGTGTAGCTTTGCGCCCTTCCTGGGACTCACTTGGTAGCCCAGGCTGGCCTCGAACTCACAGAGATCCACCTGGCTCTGCCTCCCGAGTGCTGGGATTAAAGGCGTGCGCCACCACTGCCCGGCTCACCACATCCATTTTGGATTTTTGTTTTGTCGTTTCGTTTCTGGCCTGGGATTTGGAGCCTTTTCTTCCCAGCCCGTGTGGAGACTTTTTTTTTTTTTTTTGCAGAGGTGGGGGTGGAGTGGGGGCCGTGTCCTACCCCCACCTTTGAGGCAGTTTCAGGTCCTGCTTTGCCCTAGTTAGCTGTTTTCTTAATGCTTTTCAACTTGCTTGTAAGGGACCTGTTGGGTTTTCACTTCTATCAGTGGCAAGTTGATAATAAAATTATTCATACAAACAAAACCCTAAAAACTAAAAATTTAAAAATCTTTCTCGTATCTGGGAGCCTTCCTTTTGAGCTCAACACTTGGCCTTTGGGACTAGAGATGCATCTCACTGGTAAAGCTGGTTTGACGAGGATCACTGCAGATTTAAAAACAAAAAAGACCAAAAGAAAACAAATATGGCCATGTCTTCCAACTAATGGCCTTTAAAAGAAAGCACCACATTAAGAATTCAGATTGAGGGGGGTGGAGAGATGGCTCAGCGGTTAAGAGCACTGGCTGCTCTTCCAGAGGTCCTGAGTTCAATTCCCAGTACCCACATGGTGGCTTACAACCATCTGTAATGAGATCTGGTGCCCTCTCCTGGCTTGTAGACATACATGCAAACAGAACACTGTATACATAATAAATCGTTTAAAAAAAAAAGAATTCAGATTGAAATGTTTCTATCTATCCATGTAAGCCCCTGAAGGTTGTTTGCTGAGTATCTAAAATGGTCAAACTAACAGGAGTCCCCAATACCACTCCTGTGGCCCCCAAAACATCTCCATGGACCAAGGACCGGGGACCATCTCTGCTCAGCCTCACTTCCTACACTGGAGTCTGCAGGTCTTTAGTCTGACTTTTGCTTTGCATGCGCTCTGGTCTGGGAGATCACATTTTCCAAACCCCAAGGGTGAAAGGTGTCTCTCTCTGGAGGCTCGAACGCACATGTGGCTGGTCCCCAGAGAGGGTCAGTGAATTTCCACCAGAAACTAAGCTCAGAGCATTGCCCACCCTTTTGTGACTTTTATTACCTTGTGTGACTGTGAGTCAGTTCCAAATAGCCTGTCCTGGGCCAGCAAGGCAGCCAGATACCGAGTCCACTCTTCTAGGATTGGGTTGCAGAAAGTCCTTTCTTCATCTACAGAGCCAAGAGCTTTTAAAGACTACAGTTTCACTCAAACAGCGAGATTTCAGGGGAGGGGAGAACAGCCAAGCAACTTGCACTGCATAGGCTTCTGTGGACAACAAGGCCCTAAGTAAGGACGGGAAGGGTGGCTGGCAAACCCAAGGTCGCCAGAAGCAACTCCCAACTCCCCAGGGGTGACATTGCAGTAGGCTGTGGAGATCAAGGCGTTTCTCCTGCTTTCACGTTCAGATCATATTGATGGTTCAAGGATGAACTCTCGTGAGCACCTATTTCCTGGTGCTGGGATTGTCCCAGGTATGCATTATATAAGTGGGTGCTTTACCACCAATTTTAAACCTGGAGCCCAGGGTGGAGCCAACACTGGTAGAACTCTCACCAAGATGATACAACTAAATACCTTTTAAAGCCCAGCATAAAATTGCTTTTCAATTCATGGACAAAACAAAGACTCACACTGGAGCACGTCTTGTTTCCTTTCACTGTTGTGGGAGATGGGGTGTCACCTGTAGCCCAGACTGGCTTTGGACATAAGGTTGGGGACCACAGGCCTATGCACTTAGTCCAGTTTTATAGCTGGAAGGCCCTGCTATGGTTTGTGTGTAAGACAGTCTCCTTGTGGCACCCAGGCTGGTTTCTGATCCCTGGGCTCAAGCTTGTTTTTAAGAGTATTAACATGTATGGGTGCTTTGCCTGCATTTGTCATCTATGCACCATACGTGTGCCCGGTACCTCTGGAAGAGCACTGGATCTCCTGGAACTGGAGTTAACAGATGGTTGTGAACAGCCATGTGAGTGGTCCTCTGGAAGAGCATCCAGTGCTCTAACCACGAGGCCATCCTCTCCAGTCCCTAAATCTGTTACTCACCATCAACTTTGTGGTAATTTGTTATGTATAATTTCCTGGCAGCCACTCAAAGTGAAGCAACATAGCAAGAAACAACACAGGGCAGGAGGGATGGCTCAGTGGTTGCCTCTTCCAGAGGACCTCGGTTCAAGTCCCGGCACCTGACCAGTGGCTTGCAATCTTTTGTAACCCCAACCCCAGGGCATCCAAGGGCACCAGGCATGCACATGGTGCCCACACACACACACACACACACACACACACACACACACACACACACACACACACGCAGACTACACATCCCCACATGTAAGATAAAACATTTTAAAGAGAGAGAGACGAGCCGACACAGCAGCAAGGATGGCTGTGTCCATCTTACACCTGACATTCAGGTCAGGTCTGAGTGGAGGCAAAGTAAGAGAGCTGGTAGCCCTTGGTCCCATCCCCCGAGTGACAATGGCACCATCTTCTGTTGACTTCCCAACCTCACAGAGATGGTAGGACTCGATCAGTTTGTCTTAACTTGGCCCAGGATTAGACACAGTTTTTACTGCATAGAAATCCACCCCATGACACCCCACAAAAAAAAAAAAAAAAAAGTCCGTAATTCCAACATTCGGCAGGCTGAAGCAGGAGGGTAGTCCTAGCTACACAGGATTCAAAGGCAACTGGGACCACTGGAGCTCATTGTAAAACAAAACCAAGCCTTCTGTTTTACCCTCCCCGATTTTAGTGCCTCCCCACTAAAGACTTTGGATTAATTTCAAATGAAGGACTATATCTACATACACACACTGTCACACATTCAGGGAAAGACTCCACCAATGGATGGGCTGAAGCAATGAAGTGTAGAAATTCTTAAACAATATACAGTAATGGCGAGGCACTTTTGAAAATGTGAGTAGGAATATTACGTAAGCAAACGACACATTCAAACTTCAAGTTTTAATATGAAAATCCACATCATGGCAAATGGTAAAGTAATGTAATGTGTTGATTCAGCCGGGCTGCACAGCTACTCTAGTCTAACCTATCTGCCATTTCCCACCCCACCGTGGCCTCCAGTTCTTTTCCCCATGTGTGTTTACACTCAGAAGATGCCTCCTCACCAGGGTGGATAGCCATTTTAAAATGCTACATACGTTAACTCAACCAACATTCAGATAGTGAATTGCTTTCTCCTGTCCCTGGGGAAAAGAAAAAAAAAAAAAAAAAGCCAGCTGTCTGTCCTTTTGGACGGAGATGTGATGGTCCAGCATCCAATTTTACTTGGTTTTTGGATGTATTCTGGTGGATAGAAAGTACTCCAGATTGCTAAACTATATTGTTCAACAGCTCTTTCAGAAAGGGGATATCAGAAATAAACTTCTTAAATTCTTCAATATCAAAAAATATCTTGGTTTTACCCTTAAAATCAAATGCCAGCTTGGCAGGATAAAGGATTCTCGGTTGAAAGCCTTCCTCTTGCAGAATTTTAATGATCCCGGACCACTGACTTCTCGCATCTATCGTGCCAGGTGATAAGTCGGCTGTCAGTCTGATTTTTGACCCTCTGTAGGTTATTTCTTTTTTTGCTCTAGAAGCTTTTAGGATTTTCTGTTTATCACCAGCACTCCAAAACTTCACCAAGATGTGTCTAGGTGTGAGTCTGTGCTCATCCACCGCATTAGGGATTCGATGAGCGCAGACAATCTCGAGACCCTGGTCTTCTAGCTCGGCAAAGTTTTCTTCCATTATTTCCTTAATTATGTCCTCTGCGCCATTCTCTCGGTTTTCTTTCTCTGGGATTCCTATCACTCGGAGGTTGGAGCTCCGCAGTCTATCCTCTCTCTCTCTCAACCTTTCTTTATCCACAATCTCCTTGGCCAACTCCACGGTCTCCTTAGTCAGCCCCTCCACTGCATCTTCCTGCTCATTCACTCTTGCTTCAATCATGCACGCTAAGGAATACAGATCATCCATGGAGCTCTTCATATTTAAGACATCGAAAAAGTAAAGTTTCTTGATGTTTTCCACCTCCCTTTGCATCTTCCTGATAGTACCGACCACACTTTTTCTGAAGTTCTCCTCGGTTTCACGAATCAAGTCCGCTTCCTTGGCTGTGAGCTCTTCTGTTTGCGGGGTCTTGTATCTCCCTTTCTTCATGTTCATTAACAGTGGAGTGACTTGTGACGGGACACTGGGGTTTGTACGTGAATGGCTTTTGGGACCATCACTGCCTGCCTCTAGGAATTCTGATGGAGAAGCCAAGTACAAGGTTAGGCAGGGCGTCCTGATCCCCTGACTGGTCATGGCGGTGGCTCCTCCCTGCTGGCACTTGACCAGTTTTTTCTTTTTAGAGTCCCAAACCAAGTAGCTAAAGGCAAGTTCTTTAAGTCCATGGAAGGTCTCCTTTTTCTTAGTCGTCTTTACATTTCCTTCTTCTTCTGATTCAGAATCTACTATCAAACTAATTAAACTAATCTCACCAGTCCTAGTGATTTTCTCAACTCCATGCTCTCCGACCACAGTAAGGCCTTCGAAGGTTGAGTCTTCTGTTTCATGAAGGACAGAGGCCTCTTCCTCCTTCGATAGATCTGAGTGCTCCTCTCCCTCTTCATCCTCATCCTCCTCCTCCTCCTCCGAGGTCTGTTCCTCCAACTCTGACTCCTCTTCTTCCTCCAACTCTGAGCCCTCTTCCTCTCCCATCTCTGAGGCTTCTCCCTCAGAAATTTTTTCCACGTCTATGATTTCTTCCTCCTCCTCTAGGCTTGAGGCCTCCTGCCTCTCCAACTTGAGGGTTTCTTTATCCTTCGATTCCAATGTTTCTTCTTCATCAGTCTTCATGCTTGGACTAGCAACTTCTACCTCGTTGACGAATAGGAAACTCAAACTATCACTTGCTATTCTTCCAGCTTCGTGCTTTGTGTCTCCTAGAGTTTTACCCTAGAAGTTTAAAAAAGTTATTTAAGTCGTGTTTTTCAATGAATGAAAATCCCAACCTATTTCACCCTCTAAATTTAATACACTTGCCATGACAACAAACAAGTATCTGTAAAATTGCTTGAAGTATTATTTTCTTCCCTGTGGTGAAGCTGAAACTCGGGTCCTTGTCCATGGTGAGTGGGTATGCTCCCAGATAGTGGTAGACCCCTGCATCCAGTCATCTATTCTCACAGACATGGGTCCCCACAGAGATTCAGTTTCCTAGAATGATCTTAACAAATTGCTTCTTCTGCAGTATTCAGAACAAATTTCCACAAGATCATGCCTGCTCTGACCTTCTGAATCCCCAGTATGTAATATGTTGCATGTGACTGACCGAATAAGCACATATAATCATCTCTCTTCACGTTTAGCACAACCCTATAGAACGAAGACCTGGTAACCCAGATTCACCTGAACGGTCATTTACCTTTCCCTCTGACACAAAAGCAATTTAACCCTTTTCTTCTTAAATTGTAAGGGTGGTGGGGTGGTGGTACCACAGTGTTCATATGGAGGTCAGAGGACAGCCTGCAGGAAGGAGTTAGTCCTCTGTGGGTCCCAGGTATCAACTCATGCCATCAAGCTTATATGGCAAGCGCCGATACCCCCTGAGCCATCTTGCCAGCCCACAATTTTAATTTTTTAATTTTATTTTATTATTATTTTGTTTGTTTTTTGAGATAGGGTCGCTAATAGTCTAGGCTGGCATCAAATTCATGTCAATCCTCATGCCTCAGCTGCAATTCCCACCATTCATGGAAACCAGGCCTGATTTGTGTGGTGTTGGGGATTGAACCCAGGCCTTTGTGCATGCATGCTATGTATGCACCTTCCCGACTGAGCTACATCCCAGCCCTACATTTTAACAGTGACCAGAAGATGGGTATAGTGGTGTCCCTGTAATCCCATCAGAGATGGAGGGGCGAGGGTGGACAGTGCAGAGTCTGGGCTACATGAGAGTGTGGTGATATTGTGTTCCCCAAAATATCGTGTACCTTAATAAACTTATCTGGGGTCAGAGAACAGAAAAGCCACTAGTTAGGCGGTGATAGCACACACCTTTAATCCTAGCATTCCAGAGATAGAAATCCCTCTGGATCTCTGTGAGTTCAAGGCCACATTGGAAATAGCCAAGCATGGTGACACAC